CAAGGCTTTCCTCGAGCGGCACAAGGACCAGAAGAGCCTTGTTCCGGAGGACAATGACGCGATGAAGGACTCGTATCTCCTTCTAGATGAGAACTTATGGTGCGTGTACGAGTTGGAATCAAATTTGTGAATTACAATGTCATTTTAATAGCTTCCTCAACTGCCAAGGAGGAGATAAGAAACCGGGTAGGTCAGTTTTGAAGGTCGGCGTCGCCGAAGCTCTAAAAGATGCGGGGTATAACGAGAAAGCATTCATCGAAAGAGGTGGTATATTTGATTGGACAAAAGAGGTGCCGAAAGGAGCAGATCTTGAGCTTGACTGGTAGCTTCATGTATGATAAATGCTTGTTGATTGCAGGGCCCCGTGTATGTACACCATGGACCATTTAGTTGTTGTCCTCAGGAGATTATGATTATAGCTCTGCAACGAGAATAACAATCGCGGGTGAGTTGAAATGAAATAAATTGCCATATTTATTAAGACTTGCGAGATTGCCGCGCGTGTTTTGGACGGTGCCACCTTCTGCTCAAATAGTGCTTCAAAAAGACATGTAACAATGAAAATTTCCAACGGATGAGAATTGCTTCCAGACCTTTAGAGACGTATCCCGTGGTTTGTCGGAGCATAAACAACAGAATGGACTAAACACTGCAAAATTACAGTCACATCTTACTGTATGTACTTTCAGTGAAAGCAAACTGCGCAAGGAATTTCCAAATATGTCAGTTTGGCGGCGGAAATGAAATTATTTTTCTCGACACTGAGCAAGATGAATGCTTCGGCCATCCGTCGATGAAGGTGGGCGGCATTGTACCGGACGGTACAAGGGTGGGACATCCGACACGCATCGAATTCTCGCCAAGTCCCAATACAAATGGCGACTCAACACAGAATCTCTGCAATGTATACCACTTCTTCGTGCTGTCCTTCTGCCAGGCGCCTCGGGTCTGTCTCTTCTAGGCCAACATCGATACCGAGAACGCCGTCTTCGAGAACTCCTTTAAATATCTTCATGGCCTCTACACGAGCAGTAGGTCGCTGATTTACGCGTTTCCGCGGTGATTTGGGGACGAGTTCTGAGCATAGACTCGAAAGTGGCAAGGATCAGGGACGGCATAAGGTCGAAAGAATTCTCCAGGACGATCGGAATCCCCAGACCAGTTAAAAGAGAGTTCAGAGTCAAGACAAGCGTATCTGCGAAACGAAATACAACTAGAATGTCTCAACTTTTGCATGCTGTTGTCCGTACGATCGTCCAAATTTTCAAACATACTTCCTCAGACGCAGTGTGTCGGTTTGCCACCAAATTTCGAGTTCATGCATGCTGGTTCACATAGCGATTGTCGTGGGATTCAGTTGCCCCTTGGAGGGCCGTATTTGGGAACTCGCGAACAGCGCGCTCACGTAACAGCCACATCATGAAAAGCCATCACTGTGCTTCCATTTGAAGTGATATGAAAGTGGGTCGACAATCCCTCATGCCTATCATGCTCGCTCTACATATAGATTGGTTGCCCGCGCAAATCTGAGCAAATACGAACGTATGGGAAGGAATAGAATTTGGGACAAACCAGGGAGGTCGTAGCGCTTTCGGACGATGTTAGAGACTGGACGATCGTGTTGTATTTCCTACAATTTCGAAGAGCAAAATTACAAAATGAGACCCAAAACCTCAATTCGCTAAAGGAAAGGTGCACATGTCGCTCATGGACACCATGTTGTCGATCTTGGTAATGCCAGTGGAGGATGTCAGACATGAGTGCCTGGAAACGCATATCTTTCACGCCCGCGATGAGCTCCGTCGACTTGAAGTACATGTACTTGTCCGTCGAGTCGCCGCCGCCCTTGCGCAGATTGTACACGAGGTACCTGGGGGTAAGTAGAGGCGGTTAATAATTCGGCCAATCATCGCGAGATGACATTTCGTTTGAATCTGGCCCGCGACTCCAAAGAGCTGTCAAGGCAATTTCTATGCGGACAAGTACATATTTATTTTGACTGCTACACCGCAAGTTGAAGAAGATGTTTAATAAAGATTGTGGTTGCGCTGCTTGAATGCCGTGACAAGAATGAAATGTGACTCCTAGAAAAATGTATTATGAATATCATTATGCAAATTGTTTGAGCATTTTTAGATAGGCCATGTTGTTATACCATTTCCCAATGAGTCTTTGACATATGTGACCGAATGACCTCGGAGCAACCTTTTCAAGGGCACGTGAATGCAACATACTCGATGATGTTTTTACGAGGCTTTCGGCAACTGTGGGTCGGCCGCTGCCGCAAGTGTTCATTCAATATAGCCGATGAACATTTAAAAAACATTCTTGCGAGTGACTCGAAAACGTAGCATCCTGTCACATAATGGCAACACCCACCAAGATTATCTAGACATCTGTAATCACGCTATCGGGCTCTGGCATTTACATTTTAATAATATTCAATTATATATAATAACATCAAGTAAGACAAAAAGAACGTATGGAAAGTAGAGCTGCGCAACAGGGCGGAACGGGTGTGTCGTTGCCTGCTTTCGCGTTTACTCTGTTATTTGTCGCCTGCCTCGCCCCCAGCACCGTGATGTAAGTGCTTGTGTGCCATATCCAATGTACGGGCGGCACCAGCGCAGAGCCGGGTGTCGAGGCGCAGGTATGCGATGCGTGAGCGCCTCGAGGTCCATCTTCACGCTGAGCATGCACCCGCCGGTCTATGTCGAGCCGATGTTGATCAGCAGCAGCTCATTCTTCACGAGCTTCGTCACCTTCGTCGTCTTCTTATCCTCGGTTTTGACGCCCAGCAGGCGCCGCAGGAGGAACAAACTGATCTCGAGCTCTGCGCGCGCAGAGGGACGCGCGTAAGCGCACGGAAGAAAATGTGAAAAGGATGGTGCGACGCACCGGTGTAAATCTGGGGCAGCTTGCCCACCGCGCCGAGCACCTGCCCGACGAGCCTGTCCGCGCGGCACGGCGTCGGGTCGATCATCGTGCCCACGCCGATGAGCCCGCCGGGCACCGCGAACTGCAGCTGGTTGTTCTCCGCGAGCAGCGTGACGATGCGGCTGAAGATCAGACGGCAGCGGTTACGGCACTGCACGTCCTTCGTGACGATGCCCGGGCGGATCTCGACGCGCATGCCAAGCGTGAGCACGCCCGTGAGGATCGAGCCGCCCGCGACACCGCCCTTCAGCTCGTCGACCTCCGCGCCAGGCTTGTTCACGTCGAATGAGCGGATGACGATCAACCGCGGCGACGACGTGAAGTCCCGCACCGGGATCGGGATCCGCTTCACGATGTACTCGTTCACTGCGTCGATGTTGTATTTTAGCTGCGCGGAGATCGGCACGATGGGCGACGCTTCCGCTACTGTATGCGCGCACCTCTCAGCTCTGTAGCAGAAGTTTTTATTTCTCAGTTGGCGCAACGCACCTTTTACAAACGCAGTGATACTCTTCTGGTGCTCGAGCGCTTGTGCCTCCTTGATCAGGTCGACTTTGTTTTGCAGAATGATGATGTTCTGGAGCTTCATTATCTCCACGGCGGCGAGATGCTCAGACGTCTGGGGCTGCGGGCACGACTCATTCCCGGCGATAAGAAGGAGCGCAGCATCCATGACTGCCGCACCGTTCAGCATGGTGGCCATGAGGATATCGTGTCCGGGACAGTCGACGAAGGAGCCATGCCGGAGCAGCTTCATGCGATGCCCGCATCCAGGGCGCTCGCACGGCGGACGATCTTCCTTGTCGGAACGGTACGAGCGGTAGCAGCCCGGTCGCGGACACGCCTCGTTCTCGCATTTATACATCTATTTCTTGCCACCGTGAGATGGAAAAGCACGAGAGAAAAGCGGGGTGCGACGCGCTTTTGCATTCGCATAGCCCAGTTTTATGGTAATGTTCCGGACGAGCTCGTTCTTCAGTCATGACCCCCCAGTCATGACCCCCGAGATGGCTTTCACCACTGTCGACTTCCCGTGCGCGACATGCCCGATTGTGCCTGTTACATTTCGTACTCAGCAATGAGCATTTCGCATTCGGCATGACTAATGAAATTTATGTACCAAGATTTATTGTCGCCTACCAGGACAAGCCAATGAGCTCAACGCGCGCGACGATATCCCTAAGACAGCAGACACGCACCTGCCTAGAAATAACCTCGGGCGACAAGGGCAAGAGTTTTGTTGGGTCGATCTCGACGGTCTCGATTTCTTCCTCCTCCACCTCGTCCTCAGAGTCCGACTCATTGGAGCGTTTCGGCCATTGTAAGTGTTGGTGATGGAGATGTGCCGAAGCAGCTTCATGTGGGTGCTTGCATGGCGTGTGGTCCTTCTTGTCGGAGCTGTACAAAACTGTCTGGAGGCTGAGAAGAACACATAGGAAGATGTCGCACAGTTGGTAAGAGTCAAGTTTACTTCAGAGTGCGACAGCGCATAAGTTCGTGTGAACAAAAAAAAAAGAGAGATTACATAAACTTTATTACTTGCTGCTCATATTTTTATGATCAAAATCATGTTGTTGCTATACATGACTTGTAGCATTCCATCGCACCATTGTGTTGTGTTGTTACAACATATCCTCTTATGAAGGCAGATTACTTATTGGTTGAAGTTGTTTGAACGCCTCCAGATACATCACTCGGATGTCGCCGAAAATGTCTAAAAAACATTTGTCGGCAAATGCTCAGCTAACATCTGACACAACCCCTGTATTAACATTTGTTGTAGCATTAAAAAACCTTACACTATATCCTCCAGATGACAGAAATATAAATCTTGATTCCACAGACAATCATCCCTTTTTTTTACTAATTTGCCCCAAACATAATATGTGTATTTAATTGAAACATTTCAATTATGTTTTCCCAAAAAATCTCGTATCAACATTTCCACGACCCATTATTCAACACTATTTGCAACACTTCTAAGGTGTTTACCTCCGTCTATCTTAACAACACTTGACTCAGTTGGCGGTGTACTTATAGGTCATTTTTAGTTGACTTACAAAGCATTAATGGGGTAGTGGTAACCTGGGTCGTTGCCATGAAGGAGAACAAAGATGTCGACCCGCCGGGGGTTCGATTCCCTCTTAATGCATGCAAAGGGTAACGTTGGCTTTTTTCGTGCCTTTTTGACCTTTGTCAAATTCTTTTACAATCATTCGCAAAACTAATGTGACTGGTCATAATGAACCCACGGATTAAGCCAAACTCGCGTCATCTCGCAGTGATTACAGTCAGCCTTCCTTCGTATGCAGTGGATAGTTCCATATTGAAGGAATTTGTTCTAATATCTTGTGCAGCCACTGCCGCGTATTCTGATGTAAACGGACTTCTATACAAATTCTGATTCTATTGCTATTAAGTTTATGCGCAGCCCTTCCCTCGGAGACATGTACTCAAGGACACTGTAGAAGGTGGTTGTTGGCACATATTCATACAAGTGGGGAGGAAGGCGGCAGGCCGCAGATGATATAATTAATGACTGTCGCGCAGTCTAGCATCCTGCACACTTTTTTTTTCGAAGTTCTGACTCATACATATTCTTCGCCGATGCAATGCTTCATTGCATATCTCTTCTTTTGACGACTGATTTTATCCATCTCTTCATCTTTATTCATGCTGTGGCTTCGGTTCACTGAGAGAGGCGTATGGAACCAAGTCTGTAATATGGAACCACTGTCCTCGTTCTTTCTTGCAAGTGGATGTAAACTTATTGACATCGAAACCGAAATATCAACGCAGGAAAAATAATACATAGAAATCCCTTCCATCAATATAATATAGACGGCGTTACATGAGCTTGCTACTGCTGTACCCGTTACCACCGACACTTGCTACAGCACCTTTCTTCAGCCTCTTCCCCGTTGCAAACAGCACGCTGTCTACGATAGTCGCTATGGTAAGGACACCACCAACGATGGCGCACGTCCTAATGCCGATTGCAAAACGGTTAAAATCTCTGCGTGCAAATCAAAACGAAATACAAATTTAGACTTACGAGGTCAGGAAGTGTGCGAAAGACTGTCGAGTCTCACTGTGCACGACGAGAAGAGGAGAGATCTCATAGTTGATAAACAGACCTATTGATTCAAGTTTTATTACATGAACTCTACAGTAGTAAATGCTTGGTTGCTCACCTGGCATGCCCGTATTTGCGTGCGTAATGTGAACGCCCTCTTTCGTCTGACTCTGGGCTCCGGAAGCGAGGTCGCGCTCGAAGTGGGTCGCGCTATATTGATGCGTTTTTACCTGGTTTTTATCCGCATGAACACAAGTGTCGAAAACAACCTTTCCCTCCATGGAAAACGCACCGTCTGTCCGTCGAGGAGTTCGAATTTAGTCGACACGACCTTTAAAAAGTACTGAAACATGTACTGGGGAGACCTGGCCTAGCAATTCAAGCCATGAATAAGTCTTACGACGTACACCATAACAAAAGAAAGGCCCACAATTCCAACAGCACCATCCAGCGGGTTCCCGTCAAGGCCAAGCTTCTTTTTCATTTGCTTACCCTTCTCCTTCTTGGAGAAGTTGTACTCATCGTCCGCCTCGAATGAGAGATCGTAAATGGTGTGGCCGAAGTCGTGGCGTCCCCCGTCTTCTTTCAAGTACGGTACCAGCTCATGAATATTCATGTAGTTGGTCTGGAAGGAGCGACCAGGCGAGAGGTGCAGGTTTCCGATGACTTTGTTGACCCGAATGCGACCCGAGACGTTGCAACCCTCCGTCGCCTGCTCTTTGAGCTTGTCTGACCAGTGTTCCCGTGCGCACTTGATGATACTTAAGGATTGGCATCATATATCGAAATCTAGCGGTAGTTTACCCACCTGCTCGATCGCGTCCGGGTTGTTGAAACTCCACCCCTTATTCACATACGCAGTGCGGACCTCCTCGCACGTATTACAGCAACCGTTCTCGGGCCCCACGCCGCCATAGCATGAGCCACAGTAGCCGTCCTTCGTCTGATCATTCATGACATCGAGCTTGTTGCGCAGCTCCGCGCTGTGAGAATCCGGGACGGGGATGCCAGACTCGGCGAGACGCGTCTTGATGATGTTGTGCGCGAGGTCTCTTTGCTGTTCGCCACTGATGTCCATAACATCGAGACTCAACACTACGCGACAAGGGTCATGTCAGTTCGGTAGGAACAGCGGGCGGAGTTGTGGCGACAGACACACAATAGCAAGGCACTTTCGGAAACGTCACATTCATTTGCACAGTCAGTCGTTCTCCGCGACTTTTGTCGACGACAATTGACGTGTCTAAGTTGACGCGACGGTAATCCAAAAACTCGATCGTGCTGAAGGCCAGAATAATAGCAGCCGAGAGGATGGTCACTGAGTTGCAGGGCTTGTCAGAATCTCAACTGTAGCACGACGACATGTCATTCTCACAGAAGGCCCCTGTTCTCGTCTTGACCTTCACATCCTCCATTGTCTATATATTTCGCGCAAATAAGCTCTGTGTGTAGAGCGCGGTGTCTTGAGGCCGTAACTTGCCTTGCCAAAGGCATCGACGCCCTTGAGACCTCCAAATAAGCCCTTCGCCATGTTGCCAACCAGATACAATAATCAATAAAGAGAGTGGAAGGAGGAGATGCCACAGATAGTAGGCGTCGAGGTAAAAAGGCTGCGTGACGAGCGAGTGTCGACGTGTCCAAGAGTGTACACAGGCTGCACAGCGCGTTGCCGCTCAACTTGCCGCAGATCTTCCGTTCATGGACTACTTCCGTACGCGTCTTCTGTTGCGGCAATCTTTATTTGATTACAATCTCGCGTCAAGAACAATCTCGAACAAGCGTCTTGTAGTATCGCAGGTCGGAGGAAGGTATTTACGAGCGAGAAAGATCACAATTTACAGACGTTATTGAAGACCAATCCGATCGACGCCTTCCCTCACCTTCCCCAGTAAATTCCGAACACCATCTCTCAGCCCATCCGTTTGCACACTTGGCCCACTCCTGCCATCCGTGCGAAATACACCAGTGTTGGCACCACCAAGACTAACATTGACGTTTCCTAAAGTCAAATTTAGCGCAGGTGCATTCGACGGTGTTTCCGGTGGCGGATCATACACGGTCGCGGGAAAGCCAACTACCGCGCTTCTAACCATATCTAGGAAACTAACAGGGATTTGGCTTCAGGACTATCGCGGAGAATACTTAAGAAATCTAATCATTACCTGCTGGAGTTGAGTACGGTCGTACCGCCGAGCAGAATTCGTGTCCCTGCTGCGGAGGCTGTCGCAGATCCCGGAGGCCCGCTACCAGAGCTCAAGTCTTGATTCAAAAGGGAGACAACACGAGCCTCCTCGTACGTCGTACCCCCAATCATGAAAATGATCACATCCTGTGGTCTAGCAGATCGCATGTTAGAAAATAACACAAGCGAGATCTCAATGCGACTGACCGTTGCAAGCTCGCGTTTGGCCCCGGACTCTCCACGAAGGGATAGGATGTCTCCCTCAGACGACCTTTCAGTAGATTTTCGAGAGTCTGGGAAATGTGGGGGTTGTGCTGCGTATACACGTTCTCAACACCCTATAATAAAATGACCAATGAATCATATTTTAACGACATAGTAAAAAACGCCGCAATACCTTCAGTCCCTTTAACGCACTGAAGCCTTTTGCTAAAAGAGTCTCGGTGGAAAATAAGTCGTCCTGACGTTGATCTGAACCAGCGATGTTCAAAAACCCGTAAACAAGCTGTAAAGTCTGTTCTAAACGGAGACGGGCCGGAGAGAGAAATATGATAGCGTACCTTCGCATCCTGATTCTTTACTCCATTTTCAAGCATGAGATTGATGAGGTTTGCGATGTCGTTGGCTTTCGTCTTTTGATACCTTAATGCGAAAAGGATTACAATCCTAAGTTTTTGCTGAGCAGAAACAGCACCATCACGTATTATGTTCTGGACAACCTGCGAAGCTCAGATTAGAAATACGATTGATACATCTAGAAGAAACGCTTGCCGTTAGATCTGTCCCTGCGGTTGTTGCGAGTCCCTGCTCAACTTCCCCCATATCGAGAAGTTTGTTCTTTTCCACCAACCGGCTTAGCTCTCCCACTAGCGCAACGTGCTTGCTTACGTTCCCACCCAGCTTCCTGAATTCAGGGTACTCTTCGACGAATTTTTTCATGTCTGCAATCGAGTTTATTGCAGAGGGGGAGTGTGCAAGAGAGCGAGATTGATACGACTGGACATATGTTTTGAGCGAGGTGCCGAGATCACCGAACGTGGCGAGGTGGTGTCCTTGGAAGAAAGGATCAGTTGACGTCGTAAGCGTCACTTCCTGTCTCGAACGTGAGATGCTTGCATTGACAATGTTTTTTCAAGTAATAAAGGCAAGCTACTGCACGCACCTTCAACTCCGGACGGATCCCAGGTGCTTGACTGAGGTCGACTCTCCCATTTTGTATACCGATGAGCTCATGCACCATGGCTTGATACGTCCATTGTGAGAGTAAAGGGGTCACAGGATCATTTCTGCGATCAAGAATCAACAGAAGAGGAGGCATTTGTGTAAGGCGGAAGTCGAAAAGCGAAGATTCATTCTGCATTCGATGCTGTGCTCGAAAGATAAGAAAAAATAGGCGTTGATAAGTCTTCTAATTCACTAACATGGATTTCTCCGCCTAGTTTCCTTGCCATTCCGCTCATCTTCTCGTAGCGAATGATTGGCTTCTTCTTCAAACTTAAGAGAACAGCTGTTATGCCCTGCACCGATCGCTCCAATGCATCTGGATTCCAGGAGTGTGGATTTGATCCATAGAGAGGGTGGGCAGATGATGGCACATGGTTCAGCGAAAACAACGATGGGAGAATAGGCGCGTAGTCGGCAAAGTATTCCTGCGAGATGCATTCAATAAAGACAAATTTAGGCTAGGAAGACACAACGCACCTGCACCTCTCGTACCACTTCGTATTCATCCGCTTCTGCAAGGCGTTCTATCGCCGTCTTCGTAAGGATATTGCTGAAGTCTGCCATTGAAATAATATTCAGCACCGATTCTGAGATGCACAAATCCGCGGATCGACTGACTGACAGAGGTAATACTCCCCATACTTTGGTTCGCGTAGCTCCGCCTCCAAAG